ACTTTTTTCAAATGAAGAAATACATGTAAAGTGAGTTCGAATTATATCAAGGAGGTTACGTACAGCGACATCTGCCCGCGAATAGATCAAGCAATAATGTCGATAATTCTGTCAAATACAGATCCCACGCATTCAAACGGGAATAAATATGAAATGAAAAGGAGAGTTACAAACATAAATACATACAGGTGAAGCTAATAATAAAAGCGTGTTAAAAAGAATAAGTATTTCATTGATTGATACGTTTCATCTCTTTTTTTTTCAATATTTCAATACATTCCTAGAAAGACTCAGTCATCGAGGGATGAAATGAAAGGCTAGATACAATAAAAATTTAATAACACATAGTCAATTATATGACAATTTATATTGAGCAATAACATGTTGAATCTTAAGTTTAAAATACACACCACCACCGAAGATATTAGAATAATTTGGCCAGACCAACAGTAGAATCCAAACATGACTCAATAATTTCAGTTTGCCATATATTACCTTTATCCAGCATTGCCAACATCATTTTTTAAATTATACTTTTTATATTAGATATATCGATTCACTTTTCCAGACTTTTCATCTTCCAACACAAAGAACAATGTACTTTGAGACAAACTTGATTTGCAAAAAATCAAATTTATTTTCCAAACAAAACATAATAGATATATCTGAAAAATCATTATAGGTGGTGAATTAATGAAGTTCAAGAGGTAAAAACAACAAAGCCTAGAAAATTACTGACAATATCACATGAATATTATAGTCTATCCATTCCCAATTGGAACGGCAATAAAAATAAGAGTACGGTCATAAACATTTCTTGCCTGTGGCCCCTAGTCGCCCAGATAGTTAGTAAACGTGCTATCAAATGTAGTTGAGGAAAAAAGGCTCGGCTAGCTGGACTGGCTGAATACTAATTGTTTGTCCGTTTCACAATATTTCTTTATCAGTGCCGTGAGTTCATAGGGTTAGATGAGGTAGTGAGTGGTTTTGCAAACCGATTTTTGAAAACTTCTTCAAGAGATAAATTACCCTAACACTAAACTGATATTTTTGCACTCGACGCGCGTTTCGCTAACAAGGTTAGCATCTTCAGGAGAAGCAAATTGAAACTGAATCTAAAGACAAGGGTTAGACGTTTATATACCTAAAGTTTTTTGGTCCGATGTGGACTTTGTTAAATGATGATTATCCTAATTGATTTTTCGATAATTAACTAGTGGGACCACTACCTGCAAATTAATTTGTCAACAATAGATTGAAAAGCAGACACATTAATTTGCAGGTAGTGGTTCCACTAGTTAATTACCGAAAAATCATCATTTAACAAACAAAGTCAACATCGGACCCAAAAACTTTAGGTATATAAACAGCTAACCCTTGTCTTCAGATTCAGTATCAATTTCCTTATCCTGAAGATGCTAACCTTGTTAGCGAAACGCGCGTCGAGTGCAAAAATATCAGTTTAGTGTTAGGGTAATTGATCTCTAGAAAAAGTTTTTAACTTTTACACCAAAGGTTCCAATCTCATCGTTTTTGGGTACTTTCATCAAAATGGCTTTCTGGAGACCTTTTGAAACAAATGATAACATTACGTGTAGGAATCTGTGTCAATCGACAGGGATTCGGAATTTGAAAAAAAGGATTTACATATTCAAGTTCAGCGAATAATTTTAAATATTCATGAATGCTTGAAGAAAGAAAACTGTCACACTTCACAGAATGCTATTGTGAATAGAATATGCGAGTTAACGAAACTATCTCGATCGACAGTTCTTCGAGTCATTAAAATAGGGGATGTAATTGACCATGCAATGAAACGAAAACAAAGGAATAACAAATTCGCAAACGTTGATGGTGCTAGAAAAGATGTGATTCGGCGAACAATTTATGGTATATACCAAAAAAATGAAGTACCAACCTTGGAAATGATTTGGTATAAATTACTCGACTATCCCGATTACAATTACAAATCTTTAGAAACTCTACGAGGTGTCCTATTGTCTTGTGGTTTCAAATATAAAAAATTGAACAATCGGATGGTCATAATGGAATCGACACGCACTGTTCAACTCCGACAAGAATATTTGAGGCGAATGAAAAGCTACCGAGAATCCAGCAGAAATATAATCTACCTCGACGAAACTTGCTTTGACACCCATCATGTTGTCAAATATGGCTGGGTAAACGAAACCAAGTATTGTGCTTTGAACACACATTCTTCAAGGGAAAACATGTTATAATTTTGCATGCCGGGAATGAAAGTGGTTTCGTACCTGACGCTTTGCTTCTTCGGCCAAAAATATAAAAGATTCGTCTGCTGATTCCCACGAAGATATGACTGCGGCTTTATTCGAAACCTGGTTCAGTGAGCAGCTTCTCCCAAATATTCCTCCAAACTCGGTTATTGTTATGGATAACGCTTCGTATCATTTTCGGTTATTGACTACAATACCAAACAATAACACAAAAAAGCAGATATTGTTGATTTCATGCGAAATCACGACATGGAAATACCCGAAAAGATTCACTGAAAAATAATATGCCGACGCCTATGTCGAGGCGGGAATTCCTTCTCTGTGCTGTTCCAATTGGTATTGGAAATACTATAACAGTAGTTATGCAGCAGAATTAATGAATTACTCTTAATTTACAGATATTTTATACTCTCTCTACCTAGACTAACAATATTTGTTACTACGTAAAGTTCTTTTTGATAATTGATTCAAGGTTGAAACCTTACTGAATTAATGGATAATTGCAAATTGTTGGGGTCCTCGTAAAAAAGGCAATACATTAATGATTATTACATAATATAAGAACACAGGTTTCCACAACCAGAGTCAAGACAAAATTCGAGCTAGTAGGTCATGGTCGTATGAACGTTTCGTCTACTATTGCGACAGGCATCATTAGTAGTATATGCACCGACAGCGAGGAACAAAGTTATATCTCTCAGCACCGATTGATTCAGTCCTAACTTTCGTTCTCGCAGTCAACGCATATACCACTGATAATGTCTTCCGCAGTAGCAGACGAAACTTTTAATACTTCAGGTTCCATTCGATCACAGCCTACTTGCCGAATTTTGTTATCTTTAATCACGATTATTACATAGTAATTATCTATGAGGGACTACGTACGATTCACTGATAAGAAC